TACAAAATCAAATTCATAAGTTCATTAAACTAAAAGACGTGAGCTGGGACTTAATATCAAAAAGCTTCTTCTCGTGATCAGCTCGCACCATTGCTTCAGCCCGTTGTCGGAGCTCATCTTCACTGGGCAATGTGGCAGCAGCTTCTTTCTTAGCCTCTTCAAGAGCCTGAGCCTCTTTGCGATAGTCCACAAGAGAGTTTACACTTGACGCTGAATTCAGTTACGATAGCTTCTTCTCGAGCGAATTGAGCCCTCAGTCTAAACAACTCCACTTCAGTTGCAATGATCTTCGTTTGAACAGCCTCCAAGGCGGTGGTCAAAATGGCTAACTCCTCTTGCTTTTGAACATTCCGATCCTGCAAGTGCGCAATCTGAAGCTCCTTCTTAGCTAAGCTCCGCTGAGCTGCTTCATGACGATTAACCTCTTCAGCTTGAATATAAGCAAAGTGGACGCAATTTGAGCCTAAATATTAGCATGACCAAGGGCCTCCAGGAATCTCAGTTGTACTTCTAAGTGGGAGATAGCCTCCGAGCTACGTTCAATGAATTGAACATCACCCACATATTTGAGGTTATACAAACTATTTGTCAGAAGAGGCTTGAATGTTTCAAATGTATCCCGACCAGCGATAAAAACCTCGATCACCTTCTTTGCAAGACTCTCTAAGTAACCAAGAGAGATATTAAGGAAATCAGGAGCATCTACCGGGCTTGAGACAACAATGGGAGATGGTGCTAAGGCCCCCGAAGTTGCTGAGCTAAGCAAAAAGCGGGCAGGTGATTTCGGTGTAGCGACCGAAGACTGAATATTGATGTCCAATTGCGAAGGACTTGATGTAAGAACCATAAGTTCTACTGCTTGAGATGAACTTGGGGCACTTATGGTCCTTGTCGAGGAGAGAGAAATTGTCAGCAATGTCGCCGACGGAGGAGTCATCATCAATAGCTCCAACGATGGCTATTCTGGCAAAGGAGTTGTTATTTACACAAGCTGCTGCTCTGGAGGAGTAACAGCTATGGTCCCAAGAGTTGGTGGACCTGCATGTGAAAATGGTCATAACGCAAAAGGAAAATGCATTGGGATTCAAAATAAAACATGCTTACCAGTCGGAGAGATAGGAATATAAGTTGATGCTTTATCGAAAGTAGCCCTTAGCGTATCATTGAAGTCAACGCATTCATCCAAAGAGTCTTCTTCACTAACATCATCATCGATTTCATTGCCGATGTTGTCACCTTCGACATCATCATCAATCTCATGACCGACCACCTTCTCCCGGAGAATTCTCATAATCTAACTTCTCCTCATCACCTGCTGCTGAATGTTCAGGTAAGCCCACGGTGGTAGTTGGATTGGACATGATCCCCGTGGTGGGGCTAAGACTTGTGTCCCCCATCGATAGTATTAACACTAAAGTAGAGGGAGATTGATTTCCTCCAAAGTCTTCTTGAGCGACCACTGTAGATTTACCTACAGAAGGCCTAACTTCTTCAACTTGAGCTGCAGGGTCCATCGTGGGGATAGATTCTGCATCCCCTATAAGCGATTCATCCTCACCTTATTCTTCATTCGGTGGATGAACAGAAGAGGCGTAACCTTTTAGAGTTGGGCCAACTGAAGGAAGCCCAGATTGATGTGAGAGCTCCATAGTAGTCGACTCTCTTTCTTCCTCCTCTGCATGCAATGCTTTACGAGCATCTTGCATAAGTTTAGAAGTGTGAGGCTCGAGTGTTAATTTTTGACAGCTCGCTTATCATATTCACCTTCTTCAATTAAATCGAAGGCTCTTTTCCCAGCGGAACTCTTGCTCCGGGTTCTGACCTTTGAAGGCTCCATCTCATGAATCTCTGGTATCCTGGGTTCTTCTCCTTGAGCTCCTTCTGGTGCCTATCTTCTTTCTTCCTCAGCAATCACCTCCTCATAAGATAAGTACTTGCTAACTCCCATTGCGTGAGACTTTTTGGAACTCCTCTTCAAATCATACCACTTTCGAATAGCCTTCAGGCAAGAAGTATTAATGTTGTACTCAGGGATTTGTGAAGCAGCATGGTACTAAGTACAAAAGCTCAAGGAAGTGTAGGCATTTGGCATTTTGTGTGGCAACTTGAACCTTGCTCCTGTGCAGCCTGCCACTGAGTAATACCAGGCTCTCGCCTCTTCGTATATGTTGCCTGTAAATGCAAGTTCAAGGTTAGGTTCTCGACGTATATCTGATCGTATCCAAATTGTCAGGAGAAATGATATGGGTGGTAAGGCTCGATGAAGCACTTTTTCCCTTGCTGAAAACAAGATAGCCCGGGCGTATGTTGATGAGCTACCAGAAAGCACCACTGCTAAGTGTAGTGAATGAATTATACCCTAGAGTGTCCTAATGTATTCCCCGTATGCACCACCTTTGAAATTAGGAAAGCTACAAGTAATCTCATAGGTAAAATCCCGCCTCAATATCTCTCAAAATTTCACCTGGTACTAATCAACCCACTGAGCAGTCTCTAGTTGTTGAACGAGAAGGGATGAGGTATTACTCGATGCAGGCGTCGACATTATGGAAGGGTAGTGTAGCACGAACCATGATACTAAGTAGATATATGGCATAGGCACTTGGGGAGTAGGAGTCTGAATAATGGTCTTCCCATCTGATTCCACTTTCTTGACCGTGATGAACTCAGAGGCTAACTCCCGAAGGCCACTCTGCAGACAGCATAACATAGCCGAAAGAAGGTTCAGAGGTCATCCATAAGTCAGGAGAATAGCTGGATATAACACCTCAACTGTAATGGCATCTATAGGCCTGGTAGGCACCACACATTGTTTCAACCATAGCGTGAGGAAACCAGCGAACAGAGCCATATCGGAAATCAAGATCTCCACATGATAATGGAAACTTTCAAATACAGTGTATGCAGGAAAGACATCTTCCTCGGTCTCATTAGTGTAGTGGATAGTAGCATCATCAATACCCTTATTGATTTCTTCAAGTGTACTGGCAACTATGTGAGTCACTTCCGTATCCTTATCATACAAGTTCTAGAAGAGGTACTCAGCCCACTGTCCCTGTTTAACACCACTCCCTCGCTTATCGGTAATCTGTGCCCATATCTAAAAATAACACATTAATTCCCAATAAGTATCATAAATCTCTGGAGCAACATTTTTTAAAATTTCCAACTCTTTATTCTTATGGATGAACTCTTCATAAGGCAGTTCCCCAAATGATAGTCCAGAAATCTCAAACATTTTACGGAGTGCAAAACCTAACTCCCTAACATGAGTGAAAAAAGTGTCGGTATGAGGATTGTAGAATTCCAACATGGCAAAAAGGCCACTGTAGTTCAGAGAAATCCCATATCGAGTAGCTAATACTGGGGTTCTCAGGTCAGAAATTCTAAGGGGCTCTTCCAATTCCTTCAGAACAAAATTTATCATCTAGGCCCACCATTCTGTCTCGCTAGAATGTACCCATGTCGGAGCCTTAAAGTCTTGGGCGGGGAATTCTCCCTGTACAGATATAAATTTTCTGACTAACGTATTCCCCATCTTAGTAGATTCACCAACGGGATGCTTCTTCTTAACTGGACCAGGCTTCAAAGTCACAAGTTGATTAAAACCAGCTGGGTGAACACTGCGATTGGTAATATGTCTGGTAGAGACACCACCCTATTCCTAGACAAGTTTCCAATCCATGGATCGTGGAACAGAAGCACACTAATAGTAAGAAATTGGCCACATCCGCTCCAGATTCAGTAGAAAAAGGCGACGATCATTGACAGTCCATAGCCACTTATAATTGCCATCAAACATTCGCTTTGTGTCCATCTAAATAGAATCTCTAAAAAGGAACGTTGATTTCTTTAAAACTTTACGCTCTACTATCTCAAGCTTCTCATCTTTAGCAAGGGATCTGAGGGTCTTGGGGAAAGCTTGAGTGATGAGTTTTGCTCATTCCTTGTTTGTATCCTAGAATATTGGATATTCCAAGCGAAAGCTGAAGAGTACATTTTTATCTGCAACCCTACATGACCGATCTAATGACTGAAGGAAAGAGGTTCGCTAGAGTAACGTACTGTACATGAAGAGATAATCGTCGGTGTCTAAAACACTACGAGAGCCAAAAAGTCTAAAAGACATAGTCCAAAATGCAAGGGCCAGACCTGCGTTCTAAATCCAAAACGCAAGGGTCAGCCTTGCTTTCCAAATCCAAAATGCAAGGGCCATCCTTGCATTCCAAATCCAAAACGCAAGGGCTATCCATGCATCCCAAATCAAAAACATGGAGGGTAACCTCTACGTTCTAATGGCAAAACATGAGTTTTCACTCTACATTGACAATTCAAAACTTGTCAAAACAAGTTATTTTGGTCCCAACTCACCCTGAGCCGCTGTAGGTTACTTAGGTTTCGAGACGGTTCTCTTCCTGGGTCCCACGAGATTCTCGTCAGAGAAGATAAAGAAAAATTCGCGGAGAAGATGAACAGGATCCCTGTTGAGTTCGCTAAAGAAGAACATAGAAAGTCAAATGACTTTTGATTTGACCTTTGGCGATCTATTTTATAGACAGTTGGAGCTATCAAATCGGAGCGAGATTTTAGGCAAAACTCTAACCCATCTTGAGTTGGTTAGACTACTAAATGCAAGGTTCAACCCTGTGTTTTATGTTCCAAACGTAAGGTTTAACCCTGCATTTTAGTTTTCAAACGTCAGGCCCGACCATGCATTTTATTTTCCAAATGCAAGGTTTAACTCTGCATTTTAGTTTTCAAACGGCATGCCCGACCCTGTGTTTCAAGTTCCAAATGCAAGATTTAACCCTGTGTTTTAGCTCTCAAACGTCAGGCCAACCCTGCATTTCAAGTTTCAAACGCAAGGTTTAACCCTACGTTTCAACTTCTAAACTCAAAGGACCAATTCTGCATTTCAGCTTTGAAATGTCAGGTTTTTCTGTTTAAACCTCCTGTCAAGGTACCACTGCCATTAGGGTTATTATATAGAGAAGATAACAATGGCCATCAATGTGACAAAAGTCGAGAAGAAATTAGCCTACGACAAGAAGCTATGCAGCCTCTTGGATGAGTACAGACAGGTTCTAATCGTTGTCGCCGATAACACTGAGTTGGATCAATCTGAGATCTCTTCTTTCCAAATATTTAACATTCCCACAAAGAGTAACAAGGACTCTGTTGAAATCATTACCCCTATTGAATTGATCAAGAAAGGAGACAAAGTGAGTTCCTCTGAGGTTGCCCTCCTTGCCAAACTTGGGATAAATCTCTTCTCATATGGGTTTGTGGCGCTCTCTGTCTATGACAACACATCTGTCTTCGGTCCAGAGGTACTTAACCTCACTGATGATGACCTCGTTGACAAGTTTGTAGCTGGTGTTTATATGGTTACTTTGCTGCCCCTGGCTTTCTCTTATCTAACTTTTGCAGCTGTGCCTCACGTGTTAATCAATGCCTACAAGAACATCCTTGCTAGCCCTGTTGACACTGAATACACTTTCCCACAAGCTGAAAGGGTGATGGAGTATCTCAAAGATCCAAGCAAGTTTGCTGTTGCCATTACCCCTGTTGCAGCTACTGAGAATACTGCTGCTCCTGATTCCAAGGAAGATTCCAAGCAAGATTTCAAGCAGAGTTGCAACATACATACCCTCATGTGGGTCTTGTTCAGCTAAACTTCTGCAACCAAGTTCATGATGTGTCCGAAACGGACATAGTAAACAATCATTCCACAAATCCCAGATCAATTGGGGGATCCAATTTATTTTGAAAATTTGTTCCAGTCAATCGTAAACTTTTAAAAACTTTGAAGGGGGTTCTATAGGCTATATAAAAATCACTGCAGATAGCTGATCCCCATCAAATACTAATGATGGAAGTTATAACCTGATGACTTCCATATCAACAACTTAACAATATAAGTTACAATCAGACAACTTTCACGACCACAGACCAAGGCTACAATCTAAAGATTTTTACGTAGATCGATGAGGGTTACAATTCAATGACCTTCACGATAACCGTTGAAAGCTCCGATTCAACAGCTTTCATAATCAACAACGGGAGTTTCAATCTGATGACTCCCATATTTCAAAGAGCTAAAGCAAGGATTACAAAATGATGGTTATCGCAATGCTCTGGCAAAAGAGATTATAAGTCAACAATCTCTTTAATCCAAAACGCAGAGCTAACCTCTGTGTTCCAAGAACAAAACGCAAGATTCGGCCTTGCGTTCCCAGTTCCAAACGTAGTGCAAACCACTGTGTTCTTAGCTGTCAACGCAGATCTCAACTCTGCATTCCAATACCAGAACACAGAGTTCATGCCAGAATGCCAGATCAGCGTTTGACTCGTTCAAACACATCTGAACGGTTCCAGAACCATTTTTCCCACGATCTGAGGGATTTCCATCCCACTTAGGAGCAGATTAAAGTGTCGATTACACCCCTTAATCCCCCTATAAATAACCAAACACAATGGAGTTCGGGAGGATCTTTTTCTATTTGGAAATTTTGGAGATCAAAAGGCAATTTTGGAGAAGAAGATTGGCATTCATCATTCTTCAACCGAGGATATCTTCAATTTCAGCAACAAGGAGTTTGTTCTTGTCTTACAAATTGATTTCGATTAAATTAATCAACTCTTTTATAGAGTTTAGACTTGCATTGAGTTCCTAAACTCGACAAGAGTTATTCTTAAACTTGCCACACAAGTCCTCCTCAACATCAATTAAGAGGAAGAAACCATGTTCCAGTGAAGTGAAACATTCAGATCGTCAATGGGATACAAGAATCTGAACTCCCATCGACACAAAAAAGAACCCAGGTTAAACAAAGGGAAGGGTCTCCGTCGATCTCTTCTCTCTTTTGTAATTGGGGAAACCGATTAAGAGGATTTTTAATTTCTTTTTCTAAGTTTGTTAGAGAGAGATTGCATTGAGAGAATTGTAACTCATTCTTTTTCTAAGTCTGTTAGAGAGAATAAAACAATTTTGACCTCAGATTCTTCTTTACAATTTTTACACAACACTTGCCAATCTCAAGTATAGGCTTTGGCTGCCGCTCCATACCTTCATTAGGGATGTATGTGTCACTCTGGGGGTTTCCCCCTCTTAATTCACGCCAAATGCAATTGGGGTTCTAGTGGGCTTCATCGTGATCTTCCACCGGGTCGGCTTCTTGCCGAGCATGCGCCTCATTAGGAATCTGGTCGGTGTCAAGTCGACGAGGAGGGACCCCACAACTTCCTCCACTATAATGGAGGTTGCAAGCTCATCTCGGATGCTTCTGAGTCAAATAGAGACTAGAAGGAATGGTTCGTGTGGGTCTTTGGTGCCGACAGTATCCTCTCCTGCCCCAACTAGCCTGAGATCAACAAGGATGACCTGAAGCTGTGCGTCCTTGATGCTAAAGTGACGAGACAGATGGAGAAGATCCAATCTTATGTCGGGTCTTAGGAGAGAAGGAATCTCAATTAGACGATATCTCTTCGAGCGTTGAGCATCTCGATGGTCCTCCCTTCTGAGGCGGACAAAGTGAGGGTGAGTCTGTTGGCCCTCCCCTTCGAAGAAAGCCATAAGAGGAATTGTGGGGGTCGTGGGTGGCCGAGATTGCAGCCCAGCTATCGGGGCAGAGGTTGAAGGCTAAAAAGGTGAAGACCAAAAAGGACCAAGGGCCTAGTAGGCTGATTGGGCAGGTCTAGGTCGACCCGAGTGAAGAGTAGCAGCTAGCCAAAGGGCAGCAGCTGGTCATCCAAGTCGAATGGTCAGATGAGATCATTGTGATTGACAACTCTTCTCCCCCGCGGCCAAAGAAGGAGGCCCCAGTAGTCAAGGCTGTTAAAGTTAGGGCCCGAGTTGAGGAGGCGGTCGGTCCGAGCCCTAGGCCAGAACCGAAAGAACACCCGTTCACATATTCAACATTGTGACAGGTTATTATTAATAACACCAGAATCCATGCCTTACTCGCATGGGTAAGTTCATCCCGAATCCTAAGAAAGGATATGCCGACGCCTAACGCGCGTCGCCGGTTTAGTCTTTCTCCGAAGAAAAAGACACCAGAGCTCGATTCTGGGGAATTTTATCCCGACCGCAGGCCAGGTAAGGAGCTTACCAGGACTTCTGAGGGTGCTGAGGAGAAAGTAGCGCCCCTCCAAAATTTAGGGTGGGCTAGGCCGGTGAGGAGTTATTGGATATCTGGCCTTTCTACACAGGATCTCAGAGCTTGACCCCTACTTCTGGGAGAAGGCAAAGGGCAATGTTGATGGGGGTGCCGCCAGGCCCCTATTCGCCCAGGAGGGAACTCCCAGAAGGCGAGAGGTTCATCGCGGTGGTGTCTTCGACATGGAGACCTCGATCTTGGGGTCTTCAACTACCCTAATCTGAGCAGTCTAACAGTTCGTTCTCCCGATGGATGAGGGGTTCTAACAAGAAATGCCAAGCGTCAGCTTGCATATGACCCTCAAGACCTACTTGGTTCGGAGGCCTTGGTGGAGGAGGAGCTGTTCAACCGGCTCGCCCATATGTACAACTCTCCGCCTGAGTGGAAGGTTAAGTCTATGTATTCAACATCATAGCACGAAAGTCTCAGAGAATTCACTCTCTTAGCACAACGTGACATGCGGAACGGATTTAGACAATCCGCATGCTAGCCCGACTCAAACGGTAGTCGGTAAAGGCTAATCAAATCCGTTGATGGCTGAGGGTTTGCCAAAAATCCTAAAAGTATTATGGTCAATCATTTCAAACGGAATAAGGAATCATAATAAAGATAAAGATAAAAGAAACCAGTTCCACTAAAAGGATCAAAAGTCAAGACATTCAGCAAATGAAATCATACATCAAGAACATGGCCAAAAATCTGCTAGTTAAGCTTAGAAAGCTTCTCATCATAAGCTTGCCTCAGCTCAGCTCTGATGGACTCCGCGTTGGTAGCTAAAGTCTTCGCAGCAACCTCCTCCGTCTCAGTCAGCTTTTGCTTCAGGAATGTCAACTCACCAGATAAAACAGTGTGGGCTTGTTGATCTTGTACCTTCGTCATCTGAAGAATACCAAAAGTCTCCTCTTTTTCACGGAGTGCTCTTCTGAGCTGGTCTATCTCGGTCGCACAGGAGGCAAGAGAAGAGTCAAGCTCGGTGAGTGAAGATGATTTAGCAGCAAGGTGGGCCTTAACTCGGTCCACTCGATCCCGCTGCACCTGAATGTCGAACTCAGTAAGAAACCTAGCATCGCGCCATGTCTGTAAGTGAGTATCCAACTCGGTAGCGATGAATGAAGAGGCACCTGCATCCCGGAGCTCACGAAACATCTGAAGCTCACGCTCTAGGCAGTCAAGATCATCAACAATAGACTTCGCCAGATCTGGGTACCATGCATCCCTTATTGAATTTATCTTAAGATCAAGGAATGGCTTGAACTGGTGAAGGGAAAGTCCGCCGTGGAAGAGCTTGTCAATCATAGCATTCATAAAGGAAAAGAAGGAACGGATCTCTATACAGATGACAATCTTCTCTGGGTCGTTGTCTGATAACAACTCCTTCATAAGGACGTGAAGCCGAGAAGAAAGCCCTACACAAAAAGGAGAAATCCGCAGGCAGACCTTGCTAAGGAGAAGTTGGCCATGGAGGAAGCGGAGAAGAGGATCGTCGCCTTGGAGGCTGAGTTGAACAGCAATGAGGCCAGCTGGCACCAGGAGGTGGATACGAAGGAGAAACTTCTTAGGTGGTTAAAATCCCATAGTGCTAAGAAGGCGACTTCCATTGAGATGCTCGAAGGTGAGGTGGCTCGGCTGAAGGAGGAGGTTGGCCGACTTTAGTAAGGAGTCTCTGAGTGGGACAACCGCCTGACTGCTCTGGAGGGGAAGGTTGAGTCTGAGAGGTGCCTCATGCTGGCGGCTAAGGAGGATACTCATTTGAGTCGTCTCTCAGCTGAGTAGCTGAGGCGAGACCTCGAGGAGGAGCGGTCGACTTATCAGGCATCCACGATAATTATCAAGGATCTTTAGGATAGACTTGCTCGCTTAGACTCGGAGCAGTATCGGGAGAAAGTGCTTGACGACTGGCGCCAGGGCCCCTTGGGTAAAACTGAGGTGGCCTTAGCTTGTAAGGCTGGTGTCGACTACTTGGCCTCGCTGCTCCCTCCTACCTCTTGTCCCGTGCCTAATCGCCTTCACCCACCCTAAGTCTTGCTGTCTCAATCTCATAAAGGAGATTGAGGTGAGTGGAGGGGGGTTAGGATTAGCGTAGGATGACGGTGATGATGAGTCAGAGGACATCCCTGGAAAAGACCTTCCTGCTTCCTCTTCTGATGTTCCTGCTCCCAAAGCCCCTGCACAGGACCTCCCAAGCCCTACTCCCGGATTTGGTCAAGAGATCTGAAGGCTTGTATCTTTTCCTTCTCTTCATTTTTGTAAATATAGAAATGCCTTTTTGTAAATATTGACATGGATAATGTAAAGAAGTTTGTAATAATGTTCGGAATAAAGATTTTGACATTGCTCTCATTTTGGAGTATGCCTTCAATTATTCCTTATTTTTGCTCTGTTTGCTTGTAGCTTTGTTCTAATTGAAAGAATAACTGTTGATTGTTTTGAGTCAGTCGTGTTGTGATGACCTGAGTATTGAGTGGTCAGGACGACTAGCTCGTTTTACGCCTTCTATTGGTGACATGTCCGAGTTT